TTAGAGAAATATAATGATACTGTTAACATATCAAACAATGTTAAGAAAGATATGTTTAAAAGAAGTTTTGCTAGAAATTAAATATCTTTAAAAGAACCTATCCTTGCAGTAAATGCACTTAAATAATTTTAAAATCGAATTATTGAAGAGTAAAAGGATAAAAGTCAGAGAACTAAAGAATTATTAGAATAAACCGCAGTATTGGAATCTCTATTTGCTCATTCAACAACCTCGACATTTCAAACCAGTGCTGTAGTTTCTAAAGATTTATCAAGATAGCATTAAATATAGGAAAAAAACATTTTTACTAAAATAATCTTCAATGGTGTTCAATGGTGTCATTGATATTTTGTTCAGCACTTGTGGTTGCACTAGTATCAAAATGTTTAAGATTGTGTGGCTCTTGTCTTTTTCTTTTGCATCCTAGTTAAGTAAATATTAACTTAAAACTATTATAATTATAAATAAATATAATATATTTATTAAGTCTTATCTTTAGATGGAGTTTGTATTGATATTTCATTGTCTTTAGCAGAGATTTCTATTTCACACCAAAGCTTAAAAAAAATACTCTATTCTAGAATTTTTAAAAGTCATCATCACACCTTCAATAATATTTTTAGATTCCTCTAAGGTTGCATTTTTTTCTTGAAATTTGTTAGAAACAATATTAATATTAATTAATACTTTATTGTGTAATTATATCAATGTCTAAACAAATATTTAAAACTGAATTTTCAGATTCTAGTGTTGTTGTTAACGAGGAATTAGTAACAACTAATTTTTGTTTTTTAATATTAAAGACATCAAATATTCTTTTAACCATTATTGAATTAATTACAATTTATAATTTAAAAATAATTGATTAATTCAGATAAATACACAATTCACACAAATAATATAAAATTATATTGTTTATTTGTTTAGCACGTCACTTACAGAAAACCAAGGTATTAAAAAACAAAAAAGTAAAAATAAAGGCGATCACCGTATACGCTCCAAAAACGTAATCGACCCTAATGCTGTGGCGGTCTGCAGCTTGCGTATTTACTTTACAGGTATCGCAAACAAGTTCTAGAATATTGGCGATTATCAATATATACCTATAAAATATGATTTTTCCAACAATGATAAGCCGTGAATATTCCAGACCATTCTCGTATCTCAATAAAACAAAATAAAAATTAATATATAAATATCAAATATTGAAACATAATTTTTTATTTTGACGTTTACATTCTGGAAGGGGGAGGGCTTAAGCCCCCCAAGTCCCTCCCGATATCCACCTATGGGTGGAACTAAATGTTTTCATTAGACTAGGCCTCTCACGTGAGTCATTTTATACCTGTTATATTACCTTTTTTTTTTTTTTTATTTTAAAGAAATTTACAACCTGTACATAAAAACAAAAACAATAAGTAAATATGATAAATATTATGAATAAAAATGACAGGAATAGCATGATTGGGGAAGAGCCCCATTGGCAACACCCTCATAATTTGTAATTTGGCAATTTATTATAATAGGTCACGGGACCAGTTCCTTTTTAAACGTCGTTTTGGGTTTCCAGGTAGAACGTGAGAGGACATATTTTTTATAAGAGGATTTTTATGGGAGTCGAGTTTGGAATATATCAATTTCTTATTCGAATAATAAGTTATGAAGTTCATGTTTGTGTTAAATGGCACCGTTTGCGTTCCAGAGTAAAATGTTTAATGAGGGATGGGGTTGGGTGGAGTTATTCATTATTTTTTATTAAAAGTTTGTTGATAACCGTTGTGAGAAGTGAGATAAGTGGATTAATAATTAATTTAAAATAATCTAGGAATGAGGTGAGCTGTTTGGAAAAATAATTTGTGGTTTGTTCATGGATTTTTGTATTATTAAATTGACGAGAGGCATCTGCGTATGATTGAGTGTGAGGCTGATTATTAGTATTAATATTATCATTTGGGGTGGTGCAATAGACTTCTTTAACAGGTATGGGATTATTGTTACTTAATAATTTAATATCAAATTGGAAATCTTGGTTAATTTTATTTTTATTTTTCTGGTGTCTTTGTTGTAGATTTTTATACACAACGCAACCTCGATAACTTGCTGGGTGTTGTCCTTCGCATAGTGCGCATTTTGGTGGTTGATCGATGGGTTTTAAACAGGCAGAAGTATTGTGGTTTTCCCCACATTTCACGCATCGAGGTGCGTGATTACAGTATGTTCTCGAGTGACCAAAATCTTGGCATCTAAGACATTGTATTATTTGGCGTCGAGGGTGTGGCTCTTCAACTTTAATTTTGGTGTAGCATATTGAAGTTAATTTAAATATTTCTTTGTTATTTTGGTCAGGTTCAAGGTCTATGAAAAATAGGGGTAACAATAGTTTTGTTATTTTATTTTTTACATTTACAACTTGTCTTGCAATGAATCCGTTTTCATTTAATTCTTGGATAATAAAATCGATAGGCGTGGTATGATGTAAGTTCCGAAAAATGACTCTGTATGGTTTATCTTGTTTAACTTGATAAGTGTGAAAATCAACTCCTTTTTCTTTGAGCAGTTTAGTTACTTTTCGGAATGAATCAGCCGATTTTGTTTGAAGTTTTAGGTTATTGATAAGACTTTTGCAAAAGAATTCTTCGGGACCGATTAATAGTTTGATAGCGTCACAGAAATGTTTGTAGTTTAATTCAGATTTGATAAAAATTGGAGGTGGTAATTGCGGTTTGGTATTTGGAAATTCAGACGTTTGATCAGTATCCATTTCTTGAGTAGATAAGATTTCAGAAAGTGAGGCGTAACGATTTTTTGTTGTAAACTGACTTGATGTATTGCTTTGTTTGGTTTTGGGAGACGTAATAGGTGATGGAATGTGCTGACGTTTTTAGGAGTAAGGAGACATTACCAATGTCCAATCAACAGATGATAAATCGTCCGGGTCGGTGTTTATTATTTAGTTTTTTTTAATTATTTGATTGCCATTTACAATTTTAATTGGAGTTATCGGAGTTATTGGAGTTTTAATTGGAGTTGTTTGGCTTCTTTTGTGGTGGCGAGCGCAGTGACGTGTTATTTTGGTTAGATAACAAGCGCGGCAGCGTATTATTTTGGTTAGACATTTTGTGCAACGGTAATTAAAAATGTGATTTTTCTTACCTTGTGGCTGCGCAGACCCCCGTAGTGGGTAAGACCTGAAATACTAGTGATTCGTCTTTTTTTCCCCTTTTCAACGGTATTAATTTTGTTAAAATCGACAAAGTTGTATAAGTGAAACATAAAAAGAATCGCGGACGTTTAATAAATATGTGTGCTCGATAAGAGCTGTGCACCGAATGCTTTTAGAAACTAAAGTGATATTACCTTTTATACTTTAAATAATAAGGATAAAGGTGAAAGGAAAAATTATGTTTTTCATTACAATAAATAGTTCTAAAATAAGTATTTATTGATGGTATGAATCTAAAATTATATGGTTTGTAATTTAAACTTAAATCATACATGTGAAATGTAGATACTAAATACTCGATAATAAGACAAATATCAAAACAGAGGATGGTCGAATTAACAAAAATGTCGAATTAACGGAGTATCATATAAAACGCATTTTTACTAAATGAAAAACCTTAATTTATTTTATTAAAACTTATAAATATTTGATACATATATATTAATATATGACACACTGTAAATTAATCTTTTGATGGTTCAACAAAAAATACATAAATTTGTTTTTGTTTTTTATTTAAAATGATGCGCTTTTAAAACAACATTTTAAGATAAAATTTACTGGACTATCGAACGGTCGCAATACCGAGAGAGTCTACTACACAATCCTATTTTTGTCTTAAAGTTAGTATTTATAAAGCTAAACGAAGTCCATATGGGACCATTTTTTTAAAATTCTTTAATCCTATCATTGATGTCGATATTTTTTACTGTTTTGTTCGATGTATGGGAACATTGCATTGTTCCTGGGTCATGGTCTACATGTATGATTATTTTATATACTAAAATTATTGATTGTAAATTAAGTATATTTTTAATCAACTACACATATATACAGCTTAAACACAATACCACTCATCCATAAATGTATTACTATACAATATTCGGGTAAGTGTGTTGGATATATATGTACATCATGGACACCCGTATAATGCTTAAGTATTGCCCTATACGCCCGTTTTACGCTGGCCCTTGTCAAGCTCCCCGAGGGTACAAAGATAAAATATGGTAAGATTTTTTCTTAACGTAGTAGTGCAAAATTACGTTTTCTCTTACACACCCATTGCATAAAAATTTTTTGTCTCAGCCTAGGTTAGCATTACACTAATTTTAAGTGTACCACCCTCACAAAAGTATCTTAAGTTACTTAAGATACAAAATAAAAGTCAACGAACTTATCAATGAAATTAAAACATTACTTATATTTAGTTGTAAAGAAAATACATCATGTATAAACAATTTTAGTGAATAATCTAGAATATGTCAGATATAAGTGCAAGTCGATCTAATAAAGATGAAAAATAACAAGACAATTAATTTTTATTTTTTATGATTAACATATTTAATAGTAACTTATGTTAAATATTAAGTTCTGAAGTGTTTTTACAGAAAATGCTATGATGTACTATACATTTCCGCACACGGGCAGGTTTAAGGGGGTGGCTAAGGGGACATTAGCCCCCTCCCCCTTGGGATTAAGCTATCTATTTAACAAAGCAAAGCATAATTATATATTAATAATTATAATAAAATATCGTCAATGGTCATTGATGAATATGGTATCTATTTTATATATTTTTTTTATAAATAAATAGCTCACTTTTGTTGTTAATTATATGTACGTATATTTACCTATATTTTAAAATGGTATCAGATTAAAATTGATACCAATAATGTAATAATTTAAACTTTGTCATTATTGTGAAAAAAAATGACTTACTTATGAGAGACTCAAAAACATATTCTGTAATTTAAAATTTTATATAGATTTAAAAAACCAACTAACTTAATTTTTAAACCTCCATTAGCCCCTCCCTTGGTTAGTGATAAAACCCGCCCCTGTTTCCGCAAGCTAAATTTATTGAGATTTGAGATCACTACGCGGCCAATGCAACATCTGGTCGTAATAACGTCGTTGCAATAATATATTATTTTGTCTCAATTTTCGTTGTATTATTTTTTCTTGATTCCGTTTCTGTTTTTTCAATTGTTCCATTCGTTGTTTAATTTCTTCTCGGTTTCGCTGTTCATAATTTTCATCGATTTCCTTTACTGTATTCGACATTTGACGCAGAGAGTCACTCAGCCATGCGTGCATATCTGGAAGACGAGGACTCGTGTTGTACTTACTAATGTCACGTGGTCTGAACCCTGCACTTCCGTACCACATTAGTGGGTCATCAGTCCCTTCGGCATGACTACGTACCACGTCGCCTTTTAATGGTTGCTGTCCTTCTACTTTTGGTTCGACTGTCCGTTGAACGATTAGTGGCTGCTCGCCGAAACCGTCTACATTGTTTTCCGCGGTTTGGAGCACTGGAATAATATGGTGTTTACATATTTGAACATAGTTAAAACTCGCTATAATATTGTTATGTTTACTTCAATAATTAATAAGCGCCATTCGCAACACTTCAACTATGTTTAATTTCTTTTTTTTAGTATTTTTTCGTAATTGTTAATAATTTAAGTATTCAGACAAGTATTTTATTGTTTAATCTTGTAATTTATCTAATTGCATTATGGTAAATAATCGTGTTATAATCTTAATGCATAGTGCATGTGAATAAAATATATAATATTAATTAAATTTAACTGAAGATCGAAGTGTACGGTTCGATACAGTACAATATAAAATTTAATTAGTGTTATATAGTATTATATATTTTTGTTTATTTCTTTTTAATATTTCGGCCTTGCCGTTTTCGAGCGTTCGGTTATGTTTGTTAACCACGCCGCACAGTGGTCCCTTCTTCAATTTAATTTGCTAAAATATTCGTTAGTTGAATTGATTTTACTGAATTTGGGTAAAATATGTTTAGGGGACGGATTTAAATACACGTAAAATCTCCATAATATGCTTTTATAATTACTTTGATATGCTACAAAGTACGCGTTTATTTTTGAATATGCAATTAACATTTGTTAAACCTGGTCGGAAACTATTTATCTCGTTAGATATTTTTATGGAAAAAAAAGTCTATGAAAACTTCATTTTTTGTAAGTTTTACGGTCGGTATCCAGTCGTATTCACCAATAATATTTTAAATTATCAATAGTTCGAAAAAACTAACCCATATTAAAAAAAGTAAAACGTAAAAATATTATATTCATCGGCGTATCTATACTTATTAATTATTGTGCTGAACAAACAGAACAACAATATGTGTAATATTAAATTATAAATGTATATTTATACATTTATGTATATTTTATGTATTATATATTTTATATTTTTATGTGACGTGCGAAATTGGTATTATTCTTATAAGAATGATTTAAATCATGCACATCCGATTCTTACACATAATATTGTAAATTAGTTGATGAATAATTTACAATGCAATTTTCCCTAGGTTTCTATTCTTTATTTTAATCCGGGATTGGAACCTATAGGTTTTTTAAAAGAGTAAGGGTTCTAGAACCGGTTAATTTCGGTTAATTCTGATTATTAGAGATTTATTAAGAAATAATATGAAATTATTTATCTATTCTTGTTTAAATTATAATTGTTTCATTTAATGAAAATAGAAAGTATTATGAATAGTTAAAAAAAATAATTATAAATATATTAAATATATATGTTATATCAGCCTATTATATTTCTTTGAATTAAGTTATTTTATTCTAACTCATAGTTAGAATTTGTAAAATATTTTGTAATATTGTGAAATATTATGATTTGATGAAATAAATATCTTTAATTTAAAATTTAATTTTAATTAGGATTCAAAGTTAATACTGGCTACTGTTGTAGCTACAAATTTGTATAAACATTAATTATATTTAATACTTAATAGACAAGATAGACGATATACTCATTTTAAATTGTAGTATATTCATAAACATACAAAAATAATAATAATAATAATAATATTAAAAATTTACTTATTATATGCATTACACTATTAAAAAAAAAATTAATGCAGTTTGCTACACAAAATAATAAAAACATAAAAAGATTTTATTTTTATTTTTCTGAACCGACAAATGGACAAACAAATTAGTCATTACCATAGTCTTACTAGTCTAAATAACTGACCTAAATTAACCCTTTTATAATTAAGGTTATGATTACGGTTACAGTTTTTCATTTTTGGAAATAAAGGTTTCGGTTTCAGTTATGGATTCTAAATTTTAAAGGTTAACCGGTTCCACTACCGGTTTTTTTCGGTTACGGTTCTGGTCCCTGATTTCAACATTCCCAGACAGTTTTTCGAAGCGGTGATCCTCATCAGTTTTCCTTACCCTGTATGTTAGCATAAAATAGATTATATGAACCGGTTTTACTTCAACCAATACGAATATAAGTGGAAATAGAAGTGTCAAGTTGTTATATAACAAGTTCTAATACACTACTTTTGACGATGAGTGAGCTTAAATAACAAGTTTTATTTAATAACAACTAACATACTATTGACAGGAGTACATACAAGTTTCCTTTAGTCGATAGCATTCTTGTGTCGGTAATATAATATAAACATTTCAGTTTTAATATCCAAAAATATGTTTTGGCGGTTGAAAATGTTATGTTTTTTTTGCACGAAAAACTCTTTGACGACGTGGAGTGCTGACAAATGTAATGAAATAATACTTTAGGAATATTGTTTTGGACCACTTGATTATTTATTAAAACTCGTATTCATCAAGATATTACAAATTTTGTTATTATTTTGTATTTAGCGAATGGTTTCCCATATTTTTCGTTTATTATCAAACAATAAAAAAGTTGATTTTCTTCAAAAGTTTTAGCGTTTTAGATTATCGTATTATAGGTTTTAATTTATTATTATAAATGCTTTTTTACTGCATTTATTTTTATTAAATGTCCGTGTGATTTTACTAATCACTATTTCTGTTGGATTTTATTATCTACAAAAGAAAACAAATATGAACATAGTTTTCACATAAATTTACGATTAATATTATATTATTATTATTATTATTATTATTATTATTATTATTATTATTATATTATATATTATTTATATTATATATTATTATTATTATTAATATTATAATTACGATTTATATTATTTGTGTAGTTAATCGTAGAATTTATTATTATATTATGCCTACCAGTTATGCAGCCAAAATTTTTTTTAGGGTTATGTTTTATTTCTTTGATGTTTATAATTGGTAACATGCTATGCATTTGTAGTCATGGGCGCAACTAGAGCAAATATTGGGGGTGCTGAAATTGCTGAAAAAAAAAAATAAAATGGTATTTAACTATAATTACTATAGATTATATAGATCTGAAAAAAAAAAACAGAAGTACTATATTTGAACTCAGGAGTGCTAAAAATCTTATTGCGCCTCCTAGTTGCGCCTATGCTTGTACTCGTATTATTTGTTGGTGGTGACTGTACACTATTTTTTCCACATTTAACGGAATATAGGGTTAATAGTTATTTTATGGAAGTAGCCGAATTGGTTTCCCTTAAAAAGGCATTTCATTAGGTGTAGTCGAATTGGTCTCCGTTTGAAAAAGGTATTTTATTAGGTATTGCCGAATTGGTTCCCGTTTGTGTACAGGTAAAATAGTGACAATTTTAATTTTTAACACAATTTATCTATACTGTTAAAAATTAAAATTCAGCGGGCCAGTACATAGACAGAAAAAACAAAATTTTAAAAGCTATATGTATGGTATATAGACACAATTATTATATTGATAAGATAAAGTATAAAAATATAATACATTATACGAAACAGATACTAGAGTACTAGAGACTAACAAATTATCGATATTAAGATAATGATTGAAACTTTAAATAGTATTCAGACATTAAATTATATTAAATTTTGAAGTAATAATTGATTATTTCCTTTGAAGGAAACTTACTAGCTAACAGGAAAGAAGTAACAAATATTTGGAAAATTGTATGACTGACTACATTAATAAATAGATTACAAGAATTTAATATTTAAAGAAAGTTAGCTTCAAATTTACAAATCAATTGTTTTAAATTGTATTTCTTATATTTTATTATTTGTATTTAAAGTGATGACAAGTTGACTTCCAAATCAACGATTTAAAATTGTAGATATTTTATCATTTTTTTTTAACACAGATTAACGCACATTTTTAACCAAGCCTACTTTAAAGTTGACAGTCCTAAGCCTGTAAAATTGAGAAGGAAAATGTGCGTAATTAAACGGGAAGCAATTCGGCTATACCTAATAAAATACCTTTTTCAGTCGGGAATCAATTCGGCATGTGGGTTTGGAGCTAACCAATTCGGTACCAGCCTATTTTATATTTGTATTATGCTTGCTTTAATTTCAGTTGGGTGCGTTACGATTGCGTGTGATAAGATTCCGTATGGACCTTTTTCAATATAACGATTGCGTACATTCTACCTACTAATACTTAGTGCAATGTTGCTATTGTTCAAAATTGTGAAAATTTGTAATATAACTTATTTTAGGAAATGATTGCTTATATTTTATACAATTTTTATAAATAATATATACAATATAAACAATATAATTTATACATTTTTATATAAAAATTATACACAACCAAATTGTATATTTCCAACTAATATATGGGCTGAAGAACCTTCAATAAATAAAAAGTACCATAGTTTTATAAATAATAAGAAAAAATTGGAAGTATTCTTGTACAATATAACTTTAAAGTTTATGTTCTGATACATAAAAATATAAAGTGAAGTAAATATATATTAAAAATAATAAAGTGTCATAAAACATTTAGATCATTATTAATTATGTAATTTTTACGTATTTTAATGTCAGAACAACAAATGGTTCAGAGAGTTTCCACAGAACGCTCAATTCTATAACGCACATCCCCCAATATACTAGTACTTTGTGTTTGAGGTATTGAAAGAAATGCAGGCTGAAATCAATATAAAAATATTCACTATACAAAAAAATATATCCAAAGCTATTTCATCTAAAGATATGCAAAAAATTAACCATGTAATAAAACTATACGACCAATTTAAAATAGATGGTAACGTATTACATATTTTATCAGGGACTGGTTATCGATACCAAGGTTTTAAGTTATAACTCATAATGTGTATTTTTATTGTAATTTTTATACCTAAATATCTTATATTGTTTTTAATTGACTATAATATTATAATAATTATTATTATTTTTAATTTAATTTAATTTAATAATACATGTTGGCAACGTTGCACTCATTTTCGTACGCAATCGTATATCACCGTTTCAATTGTAGAATAAAAATTATTTTTTTCAAATAATGTCAATACCTTGTACGAGGATTACTTTTCGTATAAATTATGATATTTTAATATATATTATTTTGAATGGTAAACTGGTTCACTAGGTCTGAAGTATATTACTTATCGATAGCGTTACAATGACAGTTCAGTTCCTGATTAATAATATTATATTGTAGCTGCAATTAATAAAATACTCACAATACTGTAAAAGAATTGGTACCTATAATCATCGTTTTTAAATTAAGCTAATTAGCAGTATTATATTTTAATATTGAATATAATTTTACCATATTTCAGTGGAATTGAAAAGTAATATAGAATGAACGTACCTTTAAAATGTAATTCATCGCCCAAGCAACTAAAAATCAAAAAATTATTATAGATAAATTTGCAAATCTTTGAACATTTTTTTTTTGTATACTTACGTATGTAAAATTAAACCAATTATTAATATGCACTTTGAAATCATATTTTGATTGCAAAACAAAAGATATTATTATTATTTGTTGTTATTTTATTTGGTTTATAGTAAAATAATGAATAAATATATCATAAATACCTAAGAAATGTGAATTACATATGTGACTCACACAATTTTTATTGCTGTTATGTTATATGTATTATTGTACTCGTATTTAAATGCTTTTATATAATTGTGTACAAATGATAATTGTTGCAAGTGGCTATACCAGCTAATGTGCAATATTTATATTCAAAAAACGTGTTGCGTATAATGTTGCATAGCAATATTATTTGTTTTAGAACAAAATACGCTTGTTTATTTTGTAAATTATTTTTATAATATTTTAAATAGATACATTTTAGTTTATTAGACTATATGTGTACAACACTTGTGTTCATTCGTCCGTAATTCACCAGTGCATAGTAACGATTATTGGTACTGTTGATAGTATAACATATTAAATTATATTTATACAAATAGCCAATATTAAAAACAGGATTGAAAAAATAATTAATTTTTTTTATAAATTATACTTAATTAATTTATGATCCAATATCCAACGCAATACAAGCACATACAACCGAGATTTTGGTAAGCTCCTAGAATTCCATCTCGCTTATTATTTGTGTCTGTAAACAAAACATAGTGTAATTGTTTCATTTCGTGGTAACGAATAAATTGTTTGTCTACCTATAGGCGTGAATACGATTGGGCTCAGTGGCACATGTAGATTTGATGCGTGCACCCCATGAAAAGTATGAATATAGATACTACATTTTAATTTTCACTAGAATTTTGAAAAGTGGAGTATTCGAATCGTCAGAAAATATATGAGAATTACTTGTTGTACTTTGTTGTAACCGGGCTACTTATTCGTTAGTCTATCGGTCGATAATTACTACCGACTGGTTGTATAAAATAAACAAATAAACGTTAATATTCACATAGCACCTTACTTGGAGTTTAATTTTAAGAACAAATTAAACTACGTGATAAAAATGATGATCGTTTTTACGGTTAGTTTGCCTTTAATAAACAAAACGTTTGCGACGTCATATTGTGGAAAAATCGGTTTTAGACGTAAGCACAGATTACTTGAACGAATTGCCCATCCAAGAAATGTTTACGCACTCGTTACTGTCATTTCGCTACAGGAGCACGCTGAACAATGGCTATTGAATAGGAATTGCTATAGAAAATCGAGAAGCGCATACTCCGGAGTGAAAAATAATAAATAAGTAGCCGAATGGAATAAAAATCGAAGTGAATGCCGCTCATAACAGATTGATGGATTTGTTCGACGAGACGAAATACGAAATGGCAAATGCTGTCGAAGTGCAATGAAAAGAAAAATCGGGTACAACTGTGAAGGATAATGAAGGGATGGTAAAATATTTTTCGTATATATGCTCGTCAATGTAGATAAAAGGCGATCGGGGTAACGTGAATATAAATAGCAATATTGTGAAAAACGCAATGCTGGTTATTAAATAGTTAAACAATTTAAAGTTACATTTAAGTAAACGAGCTAACTTTTTTTTTTAAGTACCTAACCTCTGCTGTATATACTGTAACCTAATATCCCACGCAACAACAAATGAGATTTTTTGTATGTTGTAAAATCGATTTTACTAAGAACTGCGATTGTTAAAAAGACTATGCCTCCTTTGTCTAATTATGACTTTAACGTTATGATAGTTGGTAGACAGAAAACGTGTCCCTAATAAACTTATTTTTAATTATTATTAATTTTTAAATTATTACCACATTTATTACTAGTAACTGTATAAAATATTTTTCATAACAATTATAGTAATGATTAAAGAAAAAATAATAAAAATATAAATACATTTCAAACTCAATTTTTAATGGGTAATTGAAAAATGTATTCTATTAAAATATATCAAGACAAAAAATCACTGTGTCTACTTGCACTACTGATTACATTTCTATCAAAAAAATTACTGTTATCGAAATGATAGCTTTGAGCCTCTAGCCTGGATTGACAAACCGAAAATTCGTCATTGCTCTTCTTGACCGAAAGCGTCATTTCCTAGCTTACATTTTCTAAGCTACACATTTTTTTTTTTTATCTCCTCGTTTGTACTTCATCGACACCTTTTAATTATTTCCCAATATTTTAAATATGATAATTTCATCATTTTATTAACTTATTTATGCTATGGTAGCTACTAGTGCTCTGCATGGTCCTGTCTTAATCAGTCTGGTCCGGACCGGACCGGATCGTGGTCCAGTCTAGTACGGTTCTAACATAAAAAAACTATTAAATCGTCGGTTTGGTCTGGTTCAATAATTTTTAGGAGTAGTTTGTTCCAGTTCTCAAATCAAATGCATTATTTTCAGTCCGGTTTGGTTTTAAAAAAATAAAATGAAAATTAGTCCAGTCCGGTCTTAGTCCAGTCCCAATCATGATACTTAAAATCTAAATACAGATATTGTTTTGTAAATAAATAAAACGAAAAAAAATCTACAACTTTAGGTAAATATTTATTCATAAAGTCGGGTAGTCTGGTCCAGTGTAATACTAAACGTATCATATGGTACGGTCTGGGCTAATACAAACTGTACTAACCGAACCTTACGGACCGGTCCAAAATATTTTAAGATTGAACCGAAAGTCCGGTTCATGGTCTACTTTATTAAATTTTATTTAATTACTGGTCTGGTCCGGTCTAAAAATAATATGAAGCCGTCGGTTCGGTCCAATTTTGGACTTTGATTAACGTTTAAGTGTGGTCCGGTTCGACTTTGGTTCCCTGGTAAAATTTGAAGTCGGGTCTGGTCTTTAAAATAACGGACCGTGTAGAGCACTACAGCTACAGCGAATTTTCGTATAATCGGTGATATTCACATGCAACACTTATTGCGTTATACTTAGACGACACTACTAACTTAACGAGTTAAATTATTTTCAATAATATGAAACTAATAATCAGTTAATTAATTTTATAATCTCATTAAGCTAATAATTTATTTTTATTTGAATTTCAGAAATTGAAATTACAAGAATATATATTTTTTTTTCATTCAAAGAAATGTTTTTAAAATAAATAATCAGAATTATTACCTATAGAACTATTGAATGCTCTATTCTTGGATTTCAATCAGGGGTGGCTCCAGAGTCTTGGTTAGAGGTAGGCCAAGTTATAATTTTACAAAATATTATAACAAAAAGAAAAGAAAAATTTTTACAACACAAATTCTAGTCGTCTATTTTTAAAATTGGCAAAAATATCAAAAATATAATCTATTTGATCTAGAATATCTAATTTATGATATACATTAATTAGATATAATGCTGATAGTCTATCTTCAGTCATCATTGAAAGAAGCCAGGTTTTAAATCTCTGAAGTGTGGAGAAATTCCTTTCAATCGTCATACCTTTATGGCTCTATCTACATACTTGTGTGTGTCGTATGATAGTACATATTATAATATGCATTTTTTGTTAACAATATACATTTTTTTATAAATACGGTACGGGCTTGGGAGGGAGCCACGGCTTCCCCCCTGGAGCCGCCCTTGATTTCAATAGATATCATAATGTTGTATATAAATATAGCTTTACTTAAATACCATAAAATTTGCTAAAATAAAAAGTAGTAACTTATTTTTAACTAAGTTAAATTTTTTAATTACGTATAATTCAAATCGAACAGTAATAAAAATAATTTTTTGGAATAGCTCGTAAATCATGTTGATTAGTATGATTGTTAAATTATCGAAACAATCCAACCAAATATAAAATACAGATAGTGCAATCGGAATGAGAATCATATTTAAACAACGATGAACTTAATGGATTTGAAAAGTTCTGAATATCTGCTATTATTCTATTAAATATATTTAATTGACTATCATAAGCACGATTTGAATAGATTTGAATTGTAGCGTACAAAATTAATAATGTATCATTTCATAATGAACTAAAATACAATTCGTGCATTCGGTCATGTGGGAATAACAATTATATATTTGCATGCCATATCTAACAACTGAATTTATTGTCATTAAAGCCTCCATTATGTTTATATTGAGTATAAACTAAACTTATAATGTATTAGGTTTTAATTCCCTTAGAACAAGGTATTCGATGAATTATATTATATATATATATATAATTAGAATTAAATTATTAGAACGAATATAATATTCGTTCTAATAGTTTAATTTTAGTTATATATTTTTTTTATCTCGACAGTAGGTTATTGATGAATTTAATTGGATTAGCAACTGTATTTTACTATGTTTAACAAAATATTGGTAGGATTAATTTTATTTTAATATCAGATTTCCTAAAAAAAATATTGTATCATTTTTATTTGAAAAATAACTCGTAGCGTAGCATACTTGGGAGTATTGTTGTACTCTGTTGTATACACACCACTTGGGTTACTATCAGATCGTCGTGTCAAGGTATTTCAATGGTTGAAAACCAAAATCGATTAGTCATGTTGTTATTCAAGTGATTTTAAATCCCACGCACATAAGTAAATAATAAATCACATAATGCGTACAAAATGTTAAACGTTATAGAAAATGCATTCACGGGCTACTACTATTGATCTCACTTGAGTTAGACTATGACGTAAATGTAGATTTATAACTATACGCCGTATTTCAAATGCAAAACCTTGAGAGAATATTCAGAACTTTATCTTAAAATTGGCGTACTACTGTTGGTTGACGTATTCGAAAATTTCAGAGACGTGTGCATTTTTACATACAATTTAGTTCCTGTTTACTACTATACAGCTCCAGGTTTTAGTTTTGACTGTATGTTAAAATATATCAAAGTCAAACTAGAATTTCTCTCTGATTATAGATGATCCAGAACCTACCAAATCACCCTACTTATTTATATGGTCTTATTATTATGCATATATTAAATATGCAAAAGTATTCAAAATAAGATTTCGTATTTCATTTATAAATAACGTAAAACA